TGTGATTATTGACCATTAAATAACAGTCCCTTAATAAGGCATTCAAGTCAATGGTTAAGTAAAACTTGCAGCTTTGCTTTGATAGCACAAATTGTAACCAGATTGCGGCATGAGGAGACCCTATTAAAGCTGAAAGCAGTGAGTAAAACGCACCTGTTTTGAATTTTCCATCAAAAATGTGCTAATCTCTCCTACCGCAAAATGTTTTACTGGCTTAGCTGTGAGCTGCATGCAGCTTTTATTTCTGCATGCTTGTTCTCAAAGGGCCAACCCATGCGCACAACCTGAACTAATGCAATAAATACTTCTTCCTATCCAAAACGTTGGGAAAAAAAGGGTTTGTTTGCTTTTTTTTATTGTGAAATCTCCCACACTAGCCCTGCAGCATGTTCTGTACCGTCTTGCAGTGTTTTATGTGAACACTCACACACACACTGCAAACACACTGACCGGAACAAAGAGTGCAGATACGACAGACGAAGGCTTAAGATGAAAAGTTTAAAAATGACTGCAGAAATTCTGTGCAGAGTGTGATTTGGAACCAGAAGTAACACAACAATGTTTTTGAAATTCATAGATTTGGTGAGGCCATTAGCTAGCTAGTAGATCTAGCTAGCTACTGGACTAGCTAACTAGGCCATTAGATAGTACAGCTAGCTAATGGACGAGTGAATGTAGTCTCATTATCAACTAGATGGCGAAGTAGTTTGCCTAAGATTAAATTTCTGATAACATTTCTATGGTGAAATGTGACACTATGTGTATAGTGGATTTCAAATAAAAAGCTGTTAATATGTTAGCAATATACTCGCACAAAGCTACATCCAGATGAATATATTAAGGTTCTTCCACTAACCTTCATTAATTCAGCTGATAAAAAAAATGGCTAATGATTATATTTATCAGGGATGTTGCAAAAATGAAATGTAAAATCTGCTTTTGTAAGCTACAACAGTCTTATGAAAGTAATTTCCTTCAAACTAGCACTACCCATCTCTTTTTTCCCCCATATATTTATATATATATATATATATATATATATATATATATATATATATATATATATATATATATATATATATATATATATATAAAAGCTCAAACCATTCAACAATATTTTGTTTCAGTTTGCAATACAGGATTCATTTTGGTCTAAAATTTAAAATGCAAATTAATTTTTTTTTTTACTGTTCTTACTTTTTGTAATATTACAAAATAATTTTTTTGTAGCTCTCAACCATAGGCCGCAATACAGTTAAACCGTAGCAAGCTCTTATTATCAGATCCAATCTCTCTTTTACATTAAGCTAAAGTGGGGAATATTTCTGGCCTGGTAGATACCCGACAGTCACGCAATTTCACTCATCCGCATTCGTTTGCATATGTGACCCCGCGCCATACAACCGTGTGGGCGCTCAGAGCAGAACATTAGGAGACACATATATATTGAGCAAATGAAACGCAACAGCATTAAGGTGCGAGGGAATGTGGAGAGGGAGGTAATGGACAGTTATGCAATGTGGCCGCCAGATTAGCAGACTGACTGGAGACCTGACATTGTTACATAATGCAGAGTCCAGACACTAATCCATACGGCAACCTGGCTGGGAGGCTGCAAACTCGACTAGTGACCGTAACCTGTGGAGGACAAGGAGCTCTGATGAAATAAGTGTATTTGACAAGTTTAACCTGTTCCCCAAGTTTCCCTGATACCTCCATGGAAGTTTCTTTCGCACTTTCTCAAAGACCAAGAGAGGCTACTTCACGCAATACACAAGGCCTCTTCTCGCAAAGCAAGCCACATTTGCATTAGTACCCTGCCATGGAAAGCATGATTGCAGGGAACTTGATACAAGCGCGCCCCACTCACAGGTTTAGGGATGCAACCACAGCACGAGGCTCGACAAATTTGGTTCCTCACATTTCCCTGGCAGGGAGAGTCGCTTATCCGAGCCAGATCGATTTCAATCGGCTGCTCACCAAAATGATGTGGCTGCCAACGGGGCTATCGCAATGGAGCTATAAATACCCCCCGCAGGCTATGTTGCGGCCACGTACGCAATGGTGAGTCCAGCTTCACGTGTCCCCGATGAAATCAAATTACAGACGCAAAAACGGAGGCGTAGCTCTTATCAAAACTCTTCCCACTTGCCGACACAGTTTTGTAAGGCGGCAATTAGAGTAAAAGGAAAATGTGGGGCATCTTGGGCATGCAGCAAAGAAAAACTGAAATCCCAAAAATGAAAAAAGAGCAAAAAGAAAAAAAAAAACAGCTAACTTGGGCGGATAGAGTTAGCTCATCAATAGGCCCACAAGCCACATGTCTTTTGAATTATCCACTTGATCTCTCTCTCCCTCTCTTTTTTTTTTCCAAATGAGTAGTGAGGAATTCCCATGGGATCTGAGAGAAACTGCATGACCCATGCTCGTGTCAAAACGACGTCGAAACAGCTGCCTGACTTTCCCCTCAAGTATTTGACCAAATCAAGTGAGAAAACAATAATGATTGATCAAGTCGACCTTGATCAAGGCAAAGTCTTACATTCTGTTGATTGTTAGAGGCTGCGAAAGACACACAGCTTAGATAATGCAATCTTAGATGATGGCTCAATCAAAGCCCATATCTTAATCCAATTAAAAAGTGTTGTGGCAAAAACATTCAAATCGTTGCCCATTACATCACAAAGTTGTAGCATGACTACTGAAGTTGCAGACTGAGATTAATGCAACTATGTACTGTCTGAGGTGAACACAGACTCATTATTGGGCCAAATTCAAAAGGTCTGAAGCGCCTTTATATGAAATAGCAAGAAGGTAGGTGAAGGAGTGGAGGGGCGCCTCATCAGTTATTGAACATATCATTTGAATGTGCAGAAAAAGCTGTTACAATTAAATACAGAAAATGCAGACTCGAAATAAATTTGTTTTGGCGCCCTCTCTAGCATGTCGCCCCCATGCATCACATGTAGTTGTTGCGTCGATGTGTAATGATAAAGACTAAATATCTTTGGACCTGGTTCATTTTTATCTGGTTTCCCTCTATGAATTTGCATGACTCCAGACACACCTAAAGGAAGTATTTCGTTCCACCTGTTGGACATGCCTGTGGTGGAATGCGCCAGGCGTATTCCACACGTTTCACTGTGATCCAGACTTCTTGCAGCCCGGCGACTTTAAGAAAAACTCAAATAACCCAGAACAACGAAGTAGTTCCAGTTCGCCTGTTCGGGCTTGTTTGGACTGCAGGAGGCATGAAAGGGTTTTTAAAGTTCAAGGGTGCGGAAGAGTTTAAAACCCCTTAGTGAAGAGGAATACATTAGAATAAAACTGAGTCTTTTAACCAATTTCTATTAGTAGGATCTTTATCATGGAAGGTCGCTGCAGGATAGGTGGAAGACGTACAGTATATCTGCAGGAAATAGGTTGTTGCCAGCATCGGTGCAGGCTGGGCATATTTCCTTTGAAGCACAATCCATTAAACCTTTGAACATCTTTATGCAAATGTATCATAAGGTAAAAGCAAACAAACCCCTGAGGTTCCGTCATATATCCCCACATAATCTGCATGCACATAGTAGCACATCCCATAACATGCAAATGAATAAAATACTGTACATATATGGTGAGACTGCTCACCAAGGCAACCTGGAGACCTAAATAATGCAAATACTATCCCAAAGTTATGCTGACAGTACACACATGAGTTACAGATCAACTGTTTAATGTGGATAGCTGCAGTTCAATATATAGGCTGCTAATCTGCTCTCATAGTGTGTGTGTGCGTGTGTGTGTGCACATTTACATAACATTCCAGCCGTATAGTGAGATAGCATTCCCTGGAACTCCCTGATGCTTCTGTTTGGCTAGCGAGTGGCACACACCCGCACGCACGCTTTCATGCAGAGAGGGCATCAAAGGTAACACAAGATAAAAAGTGGAAAGTTCACAGAGAAGCAAGGCCATGTTCAATGTTTGACATTAAAACTGGAAAGTTTACTTGCTGGAATGGACCAGCTGGCTCCTCGAGCGCTCTGATTACATTCCCATGTGCTTGCGCTTATTGTTATGATGCTGTGAGCCACTGGTGTGCTTTCGTACTCCTGCCTGTGAACGGCTCGGCGTTCTCCTGCAGAATCCCTAGAAATGCCAAGTAGCGCATTAAAGTTTCATCAATAAATATTTGAAAGGAACACACACAAGTTATTGGAAAATTACTGCGTGCACGTGAGTTGTAGCAGAGAAATTGAGAAAATTGGAATTTGATGGCAACAGAATTAATATACTTCAGTTTTATGCCTCTTTTTATACTTTCTAATACTATGCAATCAATATTTAACAATACCAATTATAAAAAGTAAAACTTAAACAAAAACTAAATAAAATCTAATTAATATAAAATATATCCATACACTTATGACATTTTGATAATGTCTAAACTTTAGATTAATCTCAAAATACAAAGTACTCTTCCAGTCAATGGAATGTGAACGAACAGCCTTAGTGAGCGTCAGTAGATCTGACTTCACAGCTTCAACACATCAGCTGCCATAGTTTGTATTGTGCGTCTTCCTGCTGCAGAGCTGCAGAAGAAAAGAGAAGGGAGGGAGGGAGAGATGGAGAGAAATTGCCGCCACGTGCGCTCAAACGACTCCTTTATTATGAAAACTTTTTCTGGATTGGTCGAGATACGAAACACTGTATTTATAGACGTTATCTAATTGGCTGTCTCCTCCGAGTCGATAGGATAACACAGCGCGCAGCCTCCAGACAAGGGATTCTTGGGCGTCTCGTACTATGAGAAAGTAGTGCGTCTGAAAAATACATATGTAGGAGGAATCTTTCTTTAAAAATCTACTGAGACCTATGAAAATTCACACATAGTCAATTTTAAATTTTATTTGTCAAATATTTTCAAGCTACGTTCTAAAATTTGGGTGGAAATATTTGTTGTTGGAGCGGAGGGATACCAAACCTCTAGGTTACGCGTCAAAATATTGGCTTGGGAAGACCGCGCCAAAGCACAGACAGCGGCCACTCTCCGGGATAATAACACACCGCAGTGGCCCCTTTAAACTCACTGTACACTTTGTACTCTAATGCTACACGTCTCCGTACGGACTTTCTCTTGATTTACAAGGCGGCTTGTTTTTGTTGGGAATACTTGACGTCGAGACCCAGGAGTCGGAATTGATGCCGGTTTTCGGGAAATAGTGTGCGACTTAACGGTCGTGACACGACTTTCTCGTCGGGCACAGTGTGCGGCGGAGTTGGCGCACAGCTTGGACTGGATTGCCCACACGGTCCGCAGCACCGTTTCTGAGCCTACTACTGTTCTTGCTTCTGGTGACTTTTTAGAACAAGCCGAACAGGACTCGTTTACGCCGGCATCTATCAGCTCGAATATGCTGCTGTCAAAGTTTGGTTCATTTTCGCACATTTGCACTCCCTCGAGTATGGACCACCTACCAGTGAAGATCCAGCTCCCGCCCGGTATGTCGCCGCTTCGCTTTCCATATTGGATTTCTCCTACAAAGGAATAATTATTTAAGCGAATCTGCTTCACTTTCAACTGACCAATTGGTGGAAATTATTCTCATTGTCCCCTTTTTACTTGCAGTCAAAGTGGAGAAGGAGCCTTTCGAGAAGGTTTACCAAGTGGGCTCGGTGCTCGGCAGCGGAGGATTCGGGACGGTGTACGCCGGCAGCCGGATTTCTGACGGCGCACCGGTGAGGATTTCACGAAGGGTTTTTAGTGCAGATAACGTGGGTTTGAATATGCACTTTTTAATGTGTGCGCTTTCGTATTTTTCCAGGTTGCTGTGAAACATGTCGCGAAGGAGCGAGTAACAGAGTGGGGCACAATTGTAAGTGTGTGGTTTGTTTTGGTTTCCCCACCCCACCCCCTCGTGTTGCAGCTGGGTGCGGGTGTTAATATTGTTATTATTACCTGTCTTGTACTATTGTTATTAAACGACGCCATCTTTTTTTAATATATTTTTTTATTCTCTTATTACAGAACGGAGCTATGGTGCCGCTGGAAATCCTGCTGCTGAAGAAGGTCAGCTCGTCTTTTCGGGGAGTTATAAAGCTGCTGGACTATTATGAGCGTGCCGACGGCTGGCTCATCGTTATGGAGAGGCCGGAGCTCGTGAAGGACCTGTTCGACTTCATCACCGAGAAGGGAGCCCTGGACGAAGACACGGCGCGGGGCTTTTTCTGCCAGGTTCTGGAGGCGGTCAGGCACTGCTACAGCTGCGGAGTAGTACACAGAGACATCAAAGATGAAAACCTGCTGGTGGACCTACGCACCGGGGAGCTCAAGCTTATTGATTTTGGCTCAGGGGCGATTCTCAAGGACACGGTCTACACTGATTTCGACGGTAAGCGACGCTTGTTACTATTACGGGATGTCACGGTGCTTATCCGTGGTGGGATTTCATGAATATAATTATTTTTATGCATCCGTGTGGGCCGAGTTGTGTTTTTTTGCCCTTGATGCTCCGGCTGTGCTATATTCAGACGCGGAGGCGATAACGAGGCTGTGACGCAGTGATCCGTTTTTGGTCGAGGGTTTTCCTCACCAACATCCCCTCGCGCGCATTAATATTAGAAATGCAAACCGGATGATCATGATGATGCTGCTGCTACTGCTCCAGACAAATCTCAGTGAATATTTACAGAGGTGACTCATCGATTTTTTAATTTTTTTTTTTTTTTTTTTTTTTTTTTTTTTTTTTTTTTTTTTAATCGGTGACGCATTAATCTCTCGTGAGCCGGATTGTACTTTAATGTTTCCGGTCATGATGTTGTCATGGTAGCCTGAGTCACGGTGTGTGCAGTGGTGTTGTGGATCTAAGGTCAGTGCCACCTAACATCTGTTTGTTGTGAAACTAGAGTCGAGGCTTCACGTGATGGGCTCACGTTGCTTTAGTTTTTTCCAAGTGCGCCACAAGGGGGTGGCAGGAGGGGAATGGCCACCCCTAGGAATTTGCATAATGTATTTTTTAAACGAATTTAAGAGATTAAGGAGAGATTACACTTTAAAAAAAGCTGCAGTTTATACATGCCACAGCATGTCAGTTTTTATTGCACACACCCAAAATCCTGTTATTACTTGCGCTGCTGCCTTTTTTGGGGTGTGTGTGTGTGTGTGTGTGTATGCAGTCCACTGTGATTCTGTTTTGTGGTTTTTGTGAGCCAACACTTTGCTTACGCTACTTCTCATCAAATCCCCAGGTACAAGAGTCTACAGCCCGCCAGAGTGGATCCGCTTCCACAGATACCACGGCAGGTCGGCAACGGTGTGGTCGCTAGGCGTGCTGCTCTACGACATGGTGTGCGGAGACATCCCCTTCGAGCAAGACGATGAGATTCTCAAGGGGAGGCTTTACTTCAGGAGAAGGATCTCAGCTGGTGAGTGTATACAAGTGTATAGCTGGACTCTGTTGCCCTCTAGCATTATTTAGTGGTGTAGCAGTCTACTACATATTAAAGATCCATCCATACAAAGGTTAATAATGACACTCTAGGACAACCCTCTTTCTTCAACAAGAGAATTACTTTTTTTTTTTGAGAAGTTTCTCCATACATTTCAATAATGCAACATCTGCTTTGAAGAATTTATAATCAGTCTCTAAAATTCAATCCAGATATGACCAGTCTAATTAGACCAATTTAAGTCCAATGTGTAAGTAAAGCCTTTATTCCATTGGGAACTTATTGAAAGCAGTTCAGACACATTTAAAACTGAAATAACCCTAAAGTGGGGAAATAGGAATTGTTTTACAGTTCTCTCCATAAAATGGACATACCAGTAAGCACGAAAAAAATTTTTCTGTTGCCTCACTGACACAGTGGCGCCCTAGTTGAAGAGCCACATGATAAATTGCTAGTAACCTTTCCACAAGCTTATGTTTAACTCAGCTGATGTTTCCTCTCACAGAGTGCCAGCAGCTGATCAAATGGTGCCTGGCTCTGCGGCCCTCCGACCGGCCCACTCTGGAGCAGATCTGCGACCACCCCTGGATGAGGAACACAGAGGAGTCGCCCAAGTCGCCAGAGGAGACCGCGGCGGGAGAAATCCGCCTCAGAACCATCGACACGGACTCTTCGTCAAGCACAAGCTCGAGCAAGGAAAGCCTCTGAGCGCGGCTCCGATGGGACTCTGTGGACTTTGTGAAGAAATAAAGGGTGATGGGGGTGTGAGGGGGGGGGGGATGAAAAGAGGGGACAGACACGGACTTCTGTCCACCCTGAACTGTCATTGGCCATGTGCTTCACTCATCTGGCCCAGAGAGAAAACAATAGGAAATAAGAATACTTTCATTTTTTTTCCTCTTTTGTAGGGAATTTTTTATTTATTTTTGTTGGTTACTCTTTATCTTATTCGTCCCCATCTCCCCCCCCCCCTTTTTTTATTTTCCAATTCAGTTCATTATACTTGTTTCCAAATGGGGAACATTTTGCTGTTTGGGTGGTCTTACCAGCACTATTTATTTCCCCTCCCTTTCTTTATATTACTAGGCAGATATATATGTATATATGTATGTATATGCATATATATACATATATAGAGCTGGCAAGGCCCTCCTATTCAGACTGCTCTCATAGAGCTTGGAGAAGAGTTTTAATGTTTTAATTTTGATTTTGGAGTGCCTTTTTTTTTTTTTTTGGAAAGCTGCTTTTCTTGGGGGACTCTTTTTTTGTCAACAACCAACAGTGGGGGTGTGGGTTGCGGCCTGTGGCGTGGTGGTTAGATTGTCTGTGCTGTGATGGAAGAGGCTTCAAGAAGTTTTTTTTTTTTTTTTGTAAATTCTAATTATTTTATGTGACGTTTTTGTTTCCTCCCCCCCTCTTCTCTTCATCACTGTTAAGCCAATGCCTCCTGATCTGAGAGGGGGAGGTGGAGTTTAAGTGGAGAGAAGATTGGGTGAGGGGGTCTTGAGGGGTTGGAGAAGTTGGGGGTGGGGGGGGCTGTTTCTTACAACAAAATACTTGAAAGCACCTCTTGTTGATCTCTGTAAACGCTGCTTATTCACGCTATAGCCTGAACAGGTGTTTTGTAAACCGAATCCTGTCTTTTCTGAATGTCAACATACACCTTCCTTCTCTCCCCTCCCGCCCCCCTGCGCTCCACCTTTTCCCTCCCCCATGCCTGTTGCAGGGCGAAGATGGGGAGGGGCAGTGGTACTTCTTTTTGCCTCCCACCATCTCACTGCTTGACACCACGTGCCCTCCTTCCTCCCTCCCCCCCACGCCCCTGGCATCCCTAAGGATTTGGGGGTTTAGATGCACAATCAATGCAATATTCATGGGTTCAGTTGTTTTTCTTTTTTTCTTTTTTTTTCCTACAAATATTGTACACCGTTTTTTAATTTTTATTTTCCCTTCCTCTATTTTTTTTTTGTGTGCGTGTACTTTTTTTTTTTCTCTCTCCATTTGCATTTAATTTATTCATAAACATGTAGACATTCCACACTCTGTGGCTATTTATTTATTTATTGTCTATGCTTAAAAATCCTCCCTGGCCCTCCACAAACACACAGAAATTTGCATAACCCACTTGGCCTTTGGTTTGCATTCCTATAACCTATTTTTACATTTCAACTTTTTTTTTTTTCTGAGATGTTGAGGATGCACTGAAGCAGTTGTCAATGTAAAGCAGAATAAAAAGACGTTTACTTAAATTTAAGCAGAGCATTTGAATGTTATTTAATTTACTTTAAAGGAATAAAAGTCTGTTGGTAATGTTAAATGACTACGTATCAGAGTAATAAATCTGGTTTGTGTACTGTCCAGGTTAATTTAAGTTCTATGGCAAACTAAACAATAGGCAGAGCAGTTTTTTTTTATAGTTTTGTCACATAGCCTATAAATGAGACATTTCACTTTAGCTGTGTGACCTGTGTGAAGGATGGATATTGCTATTTTTTGATACAGAAGTTTCAATTAAACACCCATTTTTATGTACAGAAATCAGTCTGGTGTCTTGCTGTTTTCTTACCAAAACAAAAATTTGTTTTGTCTCTTGTTTCTTTCATACACGACTATTAGATTCTGTTTTAACATAACATTGCTGATTACATTTATTAGCAACCACTAAAATAGCATTAAAGTAGCTGAATAATCTCACACTGAAAAGTAGATTTGTATATATAGTTACACTTTATCAGTGTCTAGAAATTTTTATTTGATAATTTATTGGAGTTTTTCTGTAGTATAAATATTAACTGACACAGGACAATTTCTCTTAGCTGCTCTACCAAAAACGTAAGACAAGTGAACAAATCATTAATATCGACAAACTAGACAAACGCATAAGATAAAAAGATGTGTAAAAATTACTGGAAACTTAACAGGAAGTGTGTGATTCAGAAGATGCGACTTAAGATTTGGCATAAACAAAGATGAAAATGTCACTGTTGGGTTTTATGCCGTGGGCCTGTTTTTCTTCCAAATGACATAGAAACCACACTGGATGGCATTCTGAAGTTTCAGTGAAAATGACCATGAGTCAACTCTCATAGCATGTAAATTATATTCTTACCACTGATTTTTAAAATCCAAAAAAGTATGGAGAGAAAATAAAAATAAGCATGTATAAAAATGGATGGATGTCTCAGATGGAGAGATGGATGGGCTAATGGACCTAGATGTGGATGAGAGAGTATCTAAGCAATAGTTTTTCCATTTAATGCCTTCTGCATTTCTGCCTGCTGCCCACAAAGAAAGCACAAGTCATAATAAGCCAGACTCTATGAGTAAGAGGCTGATGAGTAGGATTTCCAGGAAGCAGGAGAGAAAGTGAAATGTTTATTGTTTTTTTTTTTCTTGGGACTTACTGCCCCCTCTGGTAAATTCGGTGACGTCATGTTACACCTTCATCTCGCTTCTAGGAAATAATCTTAACCCCTCCTTCACCCCACAACCATCACCCCATTTCCAGCACTTTGTCTCACTCCCTTGATTTCCCACAGAAAATGATCATCTTTGCTTACAGAAGTAATCTGAAGCGCCCTCCTCGATGCATTTGCATCCGTTTGACTCCTTCCTATTCAGCCGGAATGAAGACATATTGGCGTTTGAGGACTTGACAAGACGGCTGGTGCTCCAATCTTCTCAGGCGTCTGATTCTCGGTGAAGTGTTGGTTTCATGTGTAGATGAGAAGTATGGTTTCTTTCAAAATTACCACTTGGACCATACATATGCATGTAGAAAAAACCACTTAACACAACCTTCCAGTGCTCTTCACCCAATTGTGTGCTCTCTAGGGTTCTAATGAGCTGCCTTTACTTAAGAAGGAGAGGGGAATATAAAGACTGTGGGGATGAATGTTGACAATTTGAGGCTCTAACTCTGGCCTGATATTTCATCATTATTCTTCCCAGAAGTAACGGACCAAAAATAAATTTCTTTTTTATCCAGGTCGTCACAGTTTGCTGGAATTTTGGCCGCTTCCTCCTGACAGGACATTTGGATTGTCCGTGGTGATAAATTCAGGAAAAGTTTTAATTATGGAACTCTTTCCTTGGTTAACACAAGCTTTAATCTTTATTATTTATTCTTGCATGAATGCCTTCCAATATAAGCCCCTCTCCCAACCAATCAAAATGCAGCAAATAATCTGAGGTAGAATAATATGCAGTCGACACTCACAATAGTCTCAACAACAAGCATTAATTGCGTATGCCATGCATAAAAATAGAAAAATTTGTTCAGGGCATAATTGACATAACTTTTTCCATCTGGTAGACATCTGCGCCCCTTTGTAATGCCACCCTGGGCAACTGCCCACATGGCTCATATTAAAAACTGATACTGTTTACATTTAACATCGTAGAGGTAAAAACAAATCAAACAAACCAAGTGGAATATAGCATTATTTCCCTTTCAAAGACTGCATATTGACCAAGAAAAGTGAGCCTCCGTTAATTAAGGCATAAAAATGCAGCCATGGCAACATATGTCTTTTTCCATTCAATGTGCGTGATGTCTTCCAAGCATGTATGCACCACCCTGTGATGAAAATCAGCCCAAGTACGTTAACATCTGTGTTTCTATATGCATCCCCACTAATCCTCCATTGTCTTTGAGTCTTGGGGCTTATTGACATGCAAATGAGTGGCAACTTTTCTTCATTACAATACCCTCTTCTCTCTACTGAAGGCTTGCTGCAGGTCCTCACCGTGAAATCCTCATTAAATGTGGCGGGGCTTATTCCTCATGGTTGTCTCCATTAGGGGAGCATCATTAGTCTCTGGTACATTAGTCATGACAACAAAGGGGGTATTTGAAAAGTTTAAGTCAAAATATTTTGCTTTATTAAGTATTGCATCAAGGTAAAATAAATTATTTATTCAGTCATTTTCACTTGACTCCACCTGTCTATATGCAGTGCCTTGCATTTGTCAACCATAAACTTTGATGTAATTCAACAGGATGAATTAAGACCAACACAAAAATGTGCAAAAATGATAAAGTCCAGGAATTATAGGTTTGGGTTTTAATATCTGAAAGGGTCTATTACAGGGCGCTCTGCGTTTCTACTGACTTGAGGTTGTCCAGTGGAGTTTAAGTTTAGTAATTTTCCCGTTCTGCTCTTTACATGCGGACTGACCGACTGAATTGTGGACTCAGGGAGCCTTCAATGAGCGACAGAAGTGACCACTTATTGAGAAATGGCGTGTGAAAATCCCGGTGAGTGAATAGCTTAGCCGAGCTCGATAGCTTGTGGTTAATGTTATAAGATTAAACAACCTAATGCAGAGATATGTCTCTAAATAAACTATTTTTTGAGTTTGTCGAAATTTATTTTAATGTTTTAAATGCTTTGGTGTGTTTTACGTCATTGTACCGTCAGAAATAAGAGTAGAAATGCTTCTCGCGCTAACACTACTGCTAGCGCTAGCCACGGGTGCTAATGCTAAAGGCTTGTATCAAAATTATCTCTACAATCACAGAATGCTTTTGGTATCGCTTCATTAAAAGTACACACAGTACATAGTTTCAAGTCTTATTAAAACCACTATACGTTGGTTTTGGATAAAATAATATGGTTAAGTGTTAAAAATTCATTAATCAATATATTAGAAGCAATTAGTAGGTAAAATATTTCATATCATTGGTTTGTAAATCATCTTAAAATTGATTTTGATTAATTATAAGTTATGCATTGCATGTCTGCATTTTAACATTCATAATAATTAAAAGTAAACTTAACAACAGTTTATTGGATTTCATGGTAGCTCACCATAAACTGAAACTAGCAAAGCTAAACTATACAAGGAAAATGTCAATTGTGCTCTTGAAAGAAAGAAGGAAATCTCTAACAACTGAATGGAAATAGAATAACTTACTTTCTGCTCTTTATACAGATTGACTTTGATAGTGATGCCGATCTGATGTGGACTGTGGACGGGTGTAAGCGGTGTGGCCAGCCCGGACATCATTTTGCAGAAGAACTTTCAGTCCAGAAACTCCATTTTGGGTAACAGATAAGATCCCATACACAGCACGACCTGGTAGCAACGTTGCTACAGAACTGAAATCAATTTTTATGTTATTTTTCCAAGAGGGGAAAAATAAAAAATAACATTAGTAAACAAAGTCATCAAAGTTTAGCATTCAGCTAGTGTAACGTCATTACTCTTGGCAGAGCCCAGTAGATGTCTAGTGACTGTCCCAATACTGGTTCACTTTAAGTGTGCTCCATAACCATTTGTCTTCAGAAGTCGATTGAAAGTGACCAAGCTTGGTTCCTGTAATTGGTGCATTTTTGTGCAGTAAGTCTACAACAGATTACTGTGGATGATTTCTTAAGCAATAGTTTCTACTGTAAGATACTTTCATAGGTTTTCTGTCCTGAAGTTCAAACTATCCAAAATGAGAACCAGTCATCAGGATGTCACTTAAATTCTATTGTCAGAAATTCCTTGAAGGACTGGGTTCAGTAAGTTGAAATTTCAGGCATTCAATTATGTGTCTGCATTGTCAGAGAAACCATAATCCATTTTTATCCATACTTCATCAAAAGGCAGCTAAATGAGAAATACAAACATGATTAAATGACAAATACAAACATGATTAAATGAGAAGTACAAACATGATTAAATGACAAAATATGTAAATGTTCTGTCAGTTCTGATTAAAAGAATACTTCTATCTGGTGAAAGACATCCCAAGATGACCTTCAGGTGACAACAAAATGACAAAAAGTTAGCACAAAAAGACCCTAAGGACGTTATGAAATGGCACATGGTTTGCACCAATTGCCTCTGTAGAGGGTACCAATTTAAACATTGTTGGCACAAAATGTCCCCAGACTTCAGGTTACAGAGACGGCACATGGTTAATAAGAAACATCCAAAATGGCAGGTCCAGGATAACTCAATGCGAAGTGTATTTGAGACAGGTATAGAATCACACGCGGTTTGTACGATAGGTACAGCAAAGTTACTTTAAAACTTTAAAATCCATTTTAAATCCTTAAGAAACCGTAGCTCTTTGAGCTTAGTTTAAAATGCGCATAAAGTACTCCAACTTGTCAGCTGTGTCTGGGGTCAGTGTTTCAATGGCTTCTATGTTGTATTTGGTACCGTCTGCACAACACTCCTACATATTAAAGCTGTCATTGGTGGCCGGGGTAGGTGACAACTTGCTAGACAGTAGTGGAAGACGCCAGATGGACTTTGGGCCTGAGGGCCCGGATGGGCACAGATGGGTGGGTGGGTGGCACCCACACAAGCCATCATCGCTGCCAGTGCCAGACTAAGACAAGGGAAAAAACAAACAAAAAAAAAAAAGATCAGACCATTGCTACTGATACTATCCACTCATGACACATTTTTTATGAATGTGTGTTCACAAATGTGACCTTTAAGTAAGAAAGAGGAACGTGTTTGGAAGTCCACTCTTTGTAAGATTAGGAACTTTCTCATATACTTTTGAATTTTAAATGGATGATTTCAATTAGTTTGGAAATTACAATACTGGTAGGTGTGCTTCCATTACAAATGTGCGCAAAACTTTGTCGATATTACGCTGATGTAAAACGTAAACACAATTTCGCAATTGTGGCGTTTCCAATGAAATCACATTAAAATCACACGTGAATAAGTTTATTCAACAATAAATCATTAAAAAATATCCTGCACCATCATCCTCTTATGACTTCCTGTCATCTTCTTTGTCTTTTCTGCCAATAGCGACATCCGGTTGTTGTTTACGAGACTCTTGTGATGCGAAAAAAGTGTTTACATTGTAGTCTTGCAAAATATGCGAATTTCGATACTGCAGATTTTGATATTCAATATTGTTCAAAAATTTTGCTCGTTCAAAAATGCTGTGTTTCTACTAAGCAACTTTATTTTTGTAATTCCAGTTTGTGCAGTTATATGGTCAAAGGGAAAGCAGCTACTGAAATCCTGCTGGGATCGAAGTGCAGCATCAGTTACTTCTCCAAGCTCTCTGCAGATGATTTCCTTCGTGACATTGTGACAATGCATGCACCTGTATACTCCAGATCAGGAAGCTCCACACTCACGAGTTTACGATCTAGCCTTTGCCTTCTCTCCTGAATCCATAGAAACAGCAATGGGAAACTTACCTTTTCTTAGAACTCTACGCAGGTTCTTTTTGTTTTGAAGACTTTGCATGCTATGGCCCCCTATCTGCCATGTGAACACTTTGTTCTCAACTGCATGTGCTTTTTGGCGATTTGCATGTTGCAAAACGTCTTACTGCCTTCTCCGGAGGTCTCCTGCTTCGTTACCCTGAGCAGAGCCTCCACGGGGACTTTCCACAGCTCGGGCACGGAGTTCATTAAAACGCTGCGCCCGTGCCAGAGAGGAGAACCTGGCCACCCGGCTGGTGGGAACCTGCAGCCACTGCCGCGCGCCGTGAAGGCACTCATTGTTCTCGGCTAACAGGACACGGTGTAAACATAGGAGCAGAGTGTGTTTTAGGAAAGGAGAGTCAAGCGGAGACTTTCACACGAGCGGGCGAACATACACACAACCAAACACACATTCAACTCGTCTCACAACCTGAGACACACAAACAGATTCCAGAGATGAAACAGAAACCAGGCAACAAAGTCCGAGTTGGGTCTGAGCACTCGGCTGCTGTTGCCAAGATCCCAAACAACAACAACAACTGCAGATCTCGGCAGGTGAATTGAGGTGACTTGCAAGCTAACTCTCAAGGCAGAACAATTTGTCCATCACGTCTGATTATGAGTGGTTGTGGGAAGGGGAGGGAAGGCAAGAATGTGAGAAAGAGGAAGGTGAAAGGAATGGAGGGATTAAAAGGGGATGAAAGAGAGTCTTCACGGTTGTATGCGGTAGGAAAACAAGATGGAAATCTTAATCGCCAAAATCTTGTAATGTGATCAAAAGAATCATTGACCCGGTGCTTATTTTCCCCCGCGGCTGTTATCTGTTTCTCCAGCAGGATGAGAGGAGGCTCTTCTGCTGATGAACTGAGAGCCTGTCTTCAAAAACATTTGTCTGAAACCGGCAAAGCTTGTTGTTTCAGGTTGGACCGTAACGAGAGTCATCGGGTTAAGCTCTCCGCCCATGTTTGGAACAAATTTGTACAAAATGAAGCAAATTCTGACCCAGTTATTCGACAGCAGAAATAATAAAAAAGAAAAGAAAAGAAATTTCTTAAAAAAAAAAAAGACTATTGGAACAACTTTGCACTCCACATCCCTCATGTGAAATTAGGTCATTCCTGCCAACAAAGCTCCCCATTTACACGTACATCTATGTCTCAACCTTCACCTACTGCTGCAGTTTAATAGCTTAGAAAAATCAGAAGATGGCATATTGTATAAAATCTTTTTGCAAGGCAGGACATATTTCACACATTTAGTTCTGTTAAATTCTGTAGATATGGCTCACAGCACATACAAGTTAATAATTGGACAGTTGTCCAGCATACGGTGAACATCTAGAAAGAGGGCAAGCTACAAAAGTCCATTGCTTAAGTGGATTTCTGTTCACAAAGGGATGCTATCTACAAATAGTGGAAAGTTAGCCTTTGCTACAATCTTCCAGTTCACCTTTTAATTCATAGAAATGTATTTCATTAGGTATGGAAACACTTTTGAGAAGCTGGTGATGGAGAGAGTTAATCAATTCTGTTCTTCAGAGGTTAAAGCCTGATCGTCTGGTGATTGTTACAGATGGGGGGGAAAAAACCCTTCAAGAATATGACTGACATCCTCACAGTAAAGTAACTTCCTACTGATGCAGTAGCACAATGCGACATTTACACCCTTTTGCCAATGCCCCAAACACTACACAAAACTAAGATGATTTCCTCCACCCATATTTCACAGGTGTAGGAAAGTGCACCTGCTAAACCTAGCTCAGCACATCTGTGTCAGTGCTAGCACAATTTGTTATTACACTGCAGGTTTCACCTCGTTAGAACAACATGAACGGGATTCAGTGCTCTGAAACTGAAACTGCTCAGATGTAAGGCTCTTTGTTTGGTTTACAGAATCTCATCCGGGTGGGATTGTGAGAATTTTTTTGTGTTTGGAAAGCAAATATAGGGTTTAGTTTTCTTGAAATCTAACATGATAATAAATGAAAGGTACAACAATTGTAAATATCTAGTGCACTGCAAGGTCCACCAACAACGGACTAAGCACTGATTTAACACTTTGCGGCTGCGTTAAATCAGGAGGAGAAATTAGTTTGGTTGCTCATTGACTGCTCTCCACAAGCCTAGCTATATTGTTACTGCTACCTACGTCATTACTAAAGAAAGCAATGCAAATTTGTGATGCTTAGACACACAAATCCAATCTGATCTCTTGCAAATCCCAATCCCGAAAGTTTGTCCTCGAGATTAGATTTGACAAACAAAAGCTGATTTGCCTGCCGTCTGCACACAGCCAGACACCTACCTGTTTCTTATGTTTATCAGTAATCCATTTTGTTAACTCGTGTCTTTTCCTGATTGCTTTGTTTTTGACTGTAGTACTGTTCCACTCACTCAATCCCTTTGTCAACTCCTGTCCTTTCTTGACTGCCATGTGGAACAAAACAAATTCAAATACATTGCATGTTTTGGTTATGCCCTGTGGTGCCCATATTAGAAGTTTAGGGTGCTTGATTCTTTTTGCCAGATTGTTGTATGTTCTTGTCTTGTGTGTCAGCGGAAAAATCCTTGGTTTTGGCCCTTGTGGTTTTGTTTCTTAACTCGCACTCTCCCAGGCTTCTATCAAACCATCCACAAACAATCAGGTTGCACCGAAAAGAGTAAAATGGGACTCCCAGTTATTGGGCATAACTCGGATTCCTCTCTCAGCACTCTGCGCAGTGGGATAGGCTCCAGCCTCCTATGAACTTACAATAAACAGGTGATGAGAATTGTTGTTCTGTGCTCTCGTGGTGGAGAGTGCTACAGGAGGTCATTTTCAGTCAGGTTTGGTTTCAGGCATTCCCTTAAATTGAAGACAAACATGGCCCCAGTAGATATCAAAACTTCACGAACCATTTCTGATCATATTTCAACTGTTCTAACATTAAGTGTAGCTACCAAGTTGTAGGCATTTCATCCCATTTTTTTGCCTTCAAT